AGGACACCAAGATTACAAACTGAGCCAAAGGCAGAGGCAGACACTTAACCTACTGAGCCACCCAGGCACCTCTGACTGTGTATATTTTTAATAAATGACAGATATGAATGAAAAATACAGTATACGGAATATAAGTCAATAATATTTAACTGTAATAGCATTATATGGCAACAAATAGTAACTATATTTGGTGAGCCCTATGTAATGTATAGAATTATTGAATCACTCTGTTGTATATTTGAGACTAATATATTATATGGCCAAGGAAGGATGGATGGCACAGGAAGAAGCGTAGGTGGGTCTGGTGTTAACTAGCCCTGTCACCTAGCTGGGAGGTAAGAGATAGCCAGTGGTGCAGGTCCATGGGCTCTAAGACCAATCACATTTCTCAGTGAGTCTCATGTACCTTTGGTAGGCACAATGAGCTTTAATTCTGGACACACAAAAAACCCATAAAAACCAGACCAAAAATAATAAATCACAGCTTTCAAGGCTTGACTCAGGGAATACAACCCAACCCCTACAAAATGACCTCAAGAGTAGTGCTATGCTATTTCACAATGCAGTTGTTCACAGCGTGTGGGAGGACAGAGGAAAGGATGCTGAAAGTCACTGGTCACTATGAGCTATGCATCCCCCTAGGCCTTCATATTTACAACTATGATTTCTAGCATTCTCATAGGTGTCACAGCTCTGGGTACTTCTCATGAATTAACTCACTGTGTTCTCAACTGAGCCCTGTGTGGAGGATACCACCATCACCATCCCCATTTCAGAGATGAGGAAACTGAGGTCTACAGAGCTTATCCACACTTAGGCCCCAGCCAGGCTTTAGCATAACCAGGAGTTGGCCCCAAGCTCTATGTATGGAAATCACATCGGCACATCCCTGGCAGCCCCAGTGGACAGGAAACCTCAGCTTCATCCTTGGGAGAAGAAGTTGGAGACATGTGGGTACAGTGGCGCCACGCTGAGCCCACTGCTCACCCTCCTCCATCTGCAGCTCCCTCTGCTCAAGGAGAAAGTGTGGATTTAAATGTGTTTCCATTTAAAACAGTTCAAAGAAAACATCAGGACATTCAGAGGGACAGCCCCACATGGGCCTCACGGGCTTTGGCATTTGCTCTATGCAGCTCCTTTCTGTCACAACAATGGAGTGTGGACTCTGAGGGTAGGAACTGGTCTATGTGGAATCCCCAGCACTGAGTGCTGCTAGGTGCACCAATAGAAGAATGAGAGTAGAAGAGGGAGGTGTCCTTCAAAACACAGTACCTGGAACCGAGGGAAACACCATCCCAAATTTGCCCTAGGAGGCCTCTCCAACAGGGACTGCTGTCCCCCATTGGGCAGATGGGAAACCATGGCCACCCGGCTAGAAAGCAGGACACGAACACCTGATCCCAGACCCTAGAACCAGAGAGACCATAGGCTAGGGCTTCATGTAGATGGGAGGACAAACCTGTCTCAACCAGCACACCCATCCTTTTGCTCCTTATTTGACAGCAATGAGCAGGGCATGGTTCCCCAGACAGACATCAGGCCCAAGGTTCTGCTGTCCTTCTAACAGGCTGGGTGTGCCACCTAGCCCCAGGACTGCTCCAGCACCCACATTCCATCCTTCCTGGTTATAGCACACTGTGTGTGGGTGTGACATGGAAAGACATTGCCCTGATCACACCTGTCACAGAAAAACATGAACTCCTGGGACCCAGGTGGGACCTGGTGTTGCCTTCAGGGCAGTAGCTGCAGGAGCCCCAGGAACAGGGAAGTTAAGTGGGCATGAAGATGGAGACTCATCGACCTAACCAGGGCCACCAAGGAGGTCCCCCCATAAGGCCCAGGGCCTGAAGTCTTGGGGAGGGGCTTCTCTACAGGGGGCTTTTAGCCTTGGCTTCAAGCTATTTCCATGTCCATCTCCAGCACACAGGTTAGGAGTATATTACTCACTCAAGACCAGATAACTCAGGTTTCCAAGTGGACAGAATTTCACAGAATACACTTTAAGAACAGGAAAAGGCAGCCCTGATATTTCCACCTACATATTTGAGTGACACCCAAGTGATTTCCTCTGTGTTTATGCAGAACTGCAGATTTGATTTTTAACTATGTTTCACTCAACCTGTAAACTATTATGTTGTTCCTGCACCGATGTCCCTTCCCTAGGGTGCTTATCAAGGGGATAAGAGATAGGCAGAGGATCCCTGGCATGTGAATGGCTAAAAGGGAGGAAAACAGGAGGAGGAGGTGGTGAACCTTCTGGGAAACTTCGGGTTGGTGTCCACATAGAGGTGTTACTTCTGAGTCTATGGGGCCCATTCTCTGCCCTGGCTAACCTCAGGCTGCCTGGATTGGCATCACCCAGAAAGCAGGAGAGTAAGTGAAACCACAAGGCCATCCCTCAAATTCAGCCTGGCAAGCCATAAGCCAGGAAACATGCTGGATGCAGCATGCCTGCTGCCAGCAGCCCTTCTTTATGAGAGCCCTCATCTGCTTTCCAAAGTCGTGGGGAAGAAATCTAGGCAAGTAAAATTTTCAGAGGAAGCATTTCTCAGATACTTTAGCTAAAAATGTTCTCCAAGGGCAATCTTTTTTTTTTTTTTTTTTAAAGACTCAGCCTAATTCATGTCCATATGTAGCTCATAAACTAACATGTCTATTCACAAGCTATTTTCTTGGTGGAATTTTCAAAACATTCTCAGAGAAGGTTCCAAGGCAATGGAGCTCAAATAACGCCATGGTGACCTGATCTAAATAGAAAGAAACCTAATAATCTTCAAACAATCAGTTGCTAGTGATTGAAAGGCAAAACTGCCAGCAGACTAGGGACCTAACCTAGGGAGATGTAGTCCTAGCAAAGGGAAAGAGAAAAGCAACAGAGTGTTAGAAATAACCAGAATGGTGGAGGGGATGCCATTAGGAAGCTGTTCACTGAAGAATACTTCCTGTCATGACAATTTTGTTTCTCAATTCAACCTTCTAACTTGAAGAACCTAAAAATAGGACCACTCACATCCTGGGGAACCTCTGTCCTGTCATTCAGGTTTATCAGCATTTTTGCCAAAGGTCTTATTCAGCTTTCAGGGATTACAGAAGATCTCAGGAGTGAAGCAGCATCCAGAGGCATTCAGCCTGTCCTCCTGTCGCTAGTAATAATGAATAGCTCATGTTTAGTGAGACCAGCGGTGTGCTCCATCCCGACCAGACACCCAGTGCATTGGTTACTCTTTGCCTCCTCATTTTAATCATAAGGACACTGAGAGTTTATGAGATGAAACATTTGCTCAAGGTCACCCTGTTAGTGTGTGTCAGAGATGCGATGCATACTAGACACTCATCCAGATGGTCTAATTTCAGAGTCCTTCTCTTGACTGTTTCAATATACTCCCTTGTGTGGCAGCTCACAACCATGGAAAAATGAAAAAATAATGAAAACATTTGACAGGGAAGGGAGAGCATGGTGCTGATGAACTGATTAGTTAAAAATCATAATACAACCTTCAGTGGATGCTAAAGTGGGTGAAAATGAGCTAATAAGTAAGAATATTCACATGGTCTCAAAGTTCACCCTACCGATCACTTATTAATTACAAGGAATAAAATAACAGTAACTTTATAAAGGAGAGCTCTGGAAGAAACCACATTAGCCAGGTGAACAAACTTGTCCTCATCAACACCAGGTCACAGTGATGTGCTGAACCCACTGATGTGGTGTAAACACACAAAATGTAAAAAAAAAACCCAAAACAAACAAAAAAACCCACACAAAATCCATGCCTGAACCTAAGCATGAAGAAACAGCTAGACAAATCCAGACTGCAAGACTCCCCTCAAAACAAATGGCTTAAGTTTTTCAAAAATGTCAAAATCACAAAAGATAAAAGTAAAAGCAGTGTTCTGCTTTGGATTTAAAGAGACAAAACCTAATTCAGGGCATGATACTTAACTGAATGCTAGATAGGGGAACACAGCTATGAAGGGTATTTTGGGGACAACCAGACATATTTGAATAGGAACTATATTTTGGATGAGATTGTTATCAACATTACATTCCTCAGTGATAATGGTGTTACAGTTTTTTTTAAAGATTTTATTTTTATTTATTCATGAAAGACACATAGAGACAGAAACATAGGAAGAGGGAGGAGAAGCAGGCTCCCTGTGGGGAGCCTGATGCGGGACTTGAACCTGGGACCCTGGGATCATGTCCGGAGCTGAAGACAGATGCTTAGCCGCTGAGCCACCCAGGTATCCTGCGGTGTTACAGTTTTGAAGAAGAAAGGAAATGGATGAAGGAGATATTTGCCAAAGTATGTCATGATGTCTGCAACTTGTTTTTAAGTGATTCAGAGAAAAACACTGAATACACACATACATAACACACATGAGTGCATATTCCATCTGTGTATGTGTGTGTCTATGTGGGTAAGGAACTGGCAAATCTGAGTAAAGAATATATGAGTGTTCACTTTCCATTTTTTAATAGATGTGAGATTTATCAAAATGAAAAGCAGATATAAAATAGGTTGTTCAATAAAGTCTGAAGGCAAAAGAACTGCTATCCTATTAGTCAACTAGATAAAAACTGCATTTGGGACAAGAACTAGGAGGAAAAATTAAAAAGGAAAATAATATGTCAAGGTGATAAGACTACTTTTGTTTAGATTACCCTTTCAATACTTTACAAATCAATCATGATAGCAACAGATGGTAACAGAGTTACTTGGTAAATTCTGTAAATCAAATCACTTGCTGGTCTGTTCACCACATTTTTTTTAAATAATAATGTTTATCATTCTAAATGCAAATTCTAATGTAATATGAAACTCACTTCACAACTCCTTCTCAATGGATTTTAGTGAATTAATAACACTATCTCTGGCTTTAGATCTGATTTTCAGGCAATTTGCTTCAAGGACCACTACAAGGTCTGTTGCTAGAGGTGTTGACTACAAATGCTCCTCTGACACAGTCACTGGAGACTCCATGAACATGAGACTTACTTTGCAGACACTGTGGTTCTATGGACGTGTGTGGCAGTCAGGCATCCAGGGCAATGCTGCACTGTCCCTGCTGGAAATGGCCCATATTTGCCCCAGTAGATGGTGTGAGACCACAACCCTTGAGAACTCTGGAAAAGATAACAAGGATAAAAAACAATGTTTATATTTCATTAAAAGTGATAACTTAAAATTTAACTTTTAAGAATTTTTTTATATTTTAAGAGTTGAATGTAAATATTTCAAATTTAAAAGTGATTTTAAATATTCAGTATGAACTTGAAATGGTCTTGATAGTGAATGCCACATCCCTGAATCTTCCTTCTTAACACCATCCCATCTCTTAATTTTTAAATAAACACAGGCATCTGGAGGTAAGTCAGGATAAATGGGAAAAGTCTCCTAAGTGGGGAACTGTGCAAAGTAACTGTGGCTTAGAGTACATGAGATGCTCATGTGCTATGCTGATGTTCTAGGAGAAGTGCACACTTCTCAGAGGGACTCACAAACCCAAACTGCTTCAGACATTTCATGAAAATATCAGGTAGGGTCTATGAGGAATCTAGGGGTTAGGAAGCTGTTCACAATCCCTACCTGGACCATGGACAATCTAAGCGATCATGGTGATGATGGCACTCAGTCCTGGCAGGGTGCACTGTGCTCCATATGGAGAGCAGGCTGTCACGCGCAGCACTGTGAATGGAGAGGGTCCTTGTGGACCACACCTCAGTCTAGGTGGGTACACCCTGCTCCACAGCATCTTGACTCTTGAGATCCACTCACTTATATGCAATGTGGAGTTTTCTTGCAGGCATCAGAACACTAAGATATTCCTAAGCTAGGAACGCTGTGACTTCACAGGTGACATGAGCAAACTGGGGTCACATCTGTAGACTCTACACAGACTATAGCCCATGGGGTACAGGAACCCCACTTTCCTACATGGTAACACCGAAGCTCTAGGTGCAGTCTGAGGATCCTGCATGTATGGGAATGTCTCTGGTGTGCCCCAAGGCCTGGAATGGTATGTCTTATTCCCATAGTTCCTAAGGATCCTGGGGGCTTCCCCTTTGACACCTCACACCCAGACAGAGATGTCATACATCTTCATAAGCATAACTGCTTTACTTTCAACATTTCAAAGCTCACGTGATCACTCTCTCTTTTTGGTGGTTCCTATCTTTTACTAACATATTTTGGTCTTGTGTTTACTTTCCCACTTGAATTCCACTCTGTACTTGTCTTGTTGTTCCTCATTCATTTTGTTCTTTATTCTAAAATTGCTTGTAATAGTTTTGCTTATGCCTTTATATTTTTTATCTCTTTAGGCTGATTTTTTAATTTTCCAGCTGTATCTTAACTGATACCTTATAGGTAAAATTTAATCCTTACTCAATTTCAGAGTATCCATCCTTTAACTGGGGGAATTTAACCCATTCCATTTTTATTTTTTGAGTAGTGTTAAGAATAGGGTAAGGAGATGGACTGGTATATGTGGACCTTTCCTGTCATCTATTTTAGTGCTTTCTACTTCTCAAATTTTATGGTGTTATTTTCTTTACTGTCTTCAGTCAACTTGATTGATCTTATTTATTTTGTAATATTTTTTTAGAAGTTATATACCTTATCTTTCCTTCCAGTGCTTGTCTTAAATTTGTCACACACTTAAAATTGTTATTCACATTTTTTTTTATCCTGAGAATTGATGAACAGATATAACCTCTAATTTCCAAACTGGATAAGACCATTAGTTCAATGTAATTCCTTTCCCTTTCTTTGCTATCTGTTGCATTTTGTCTAAATCATTTAAAATACTCTTCATGCTTCTGGTTTCTTAGGGATCATTTCCTAACAATCGCCTTAAGCTTCACAGCTACACTGTTAATAATTACAACAACAAAATTGTATTTCACTATTTGTTAATCACAGATAATTTACATATCTCTCATTTCTACTTTAACTTTTTATTTTACTACAGAGTTTTTAAGTGGCTCTTTCTTTCTTTCTTTTTTTTTTTTTGCAATAAAATGTGACCTTTACTGTTAAAAAATGTTTTATGACATCTGACAAACTGTTTTCTTAATAGGAAGATATATATTCACTTGATGAATTATAATAGCATAAACAATTTAATTTTGTGGAAGATATGAACCACAATATGTTCCAAATGAGAGAAATTTACTTTTATACCTATCTACATTTAAAAATAATAATAGATCATGTTTGTTTGTTTGTTTTTTAGGAAAAGAACTATTCACACCAATAGCATCCTCAAAAGGAACACTAGACTTATCTATTTAGAAAGAATATCTGTATACCTGTAGAAACATCCATGAATTCGCAATACTTGAATCTTTTTTTTATAAATTTATTTTTTATTGGTGTTCAATTTGCCAACATATAGAATACACCCAGTGCTCATCCCATCAAGTGCCCCCCTCAGTGCCCGTCACCCAGTCACCCCCACCCCCCACCCACCTCCCCTTCCACCACCCCTAGTTTGTTTCCCAGAGTTAGGAGTCTCTCATGTTCTGTCTAAGTGGCTCTTTCAAAAATGGTTTCACAGATAATGTATTTTCTGAATTCTTAAGTATAAATGGAAAGAGACTGAATGCAAAAGAATGAGAATCAACAGTCAAAGTAATCTTGATAAAGAAGAGAAAAGTTGGAGATGTAATAATTCCTGATTTCAAAACTTACTACACAGCTACAGGAATCAAAACACTGTGGTATGCACGTAAAGACAGACATATGAAGTTTCTATATGTAATAGAATGGAGAGTCGAGAAACAAACCCTCACATCTACAATCAAATGATTTTCACAAGAGTGCCAAGACTATTCAATGGAGGAAAGGACAATCTTTTCAACAAATGATGTTGAGAAAACTGGATATCCATATGGAAAAGAATGAAGTTGGGTCCTTACCTAGAACCATATATAAAAATTAACTGGAAAAAGAGAAAACTAAATAAAAACGAACTGGAAATGGACCAAAGACCTAGAAGTAAGGGCTAATACTATAAAACTCTTAGAAGAAAATTAGGAGAAAAACTTCATGATGTTGGATTTGGTGATGTTTTCTAGGGGATGACACCAAAGCACAAGTGACAAAATAATTGGACTTCATCAAAGTTAAAAACTTTGGTGCATCAAAAGATACCATTAACAGAAAAAGACAACATACAGAATAGGAGGACATATTTGCAAATCATATATTTGATAAGGGATTAATATCCAGAATATATAAAGAACTCCTACAACTCAGCATAAAACCAAACAGCCCAGTTAAGAAATAAGCAAATGACATGAATACCTATTTCTCCAAAGAAGATATACAAATGGCTAATAAGCACATGGAAAGATGTTCCACATCACTAATCAATGGAGAAATGCAAACCAAAACCACAATGAGATACACCTACACACACATTAGAATGGCTATTATAATTTTTTTTTTTAAATCACAAGGGATCCCTGGGAGGCGCAGCGGTTTGGCGCCTGCCTTTGGCCCAGGGCGCGATCCTGGAGACCCGGGATCGAGTCCCACGTCGGGCTCCCGGTGCATGGAGCCTGCTTCTCCCTCTGCCTGTGTCTCTGCCTCTCTCTCTCTCTCTCTCTGTATGACTATCGTAAATAAAAAAAATAAAAAAAAATCACAAATGTTGGTGGGCCTATACAAGGACTGGAACTCTGGGTATTGCTGAGGGGAAGGTAAAGTGGCCTCTAAGGAAAACAATATAGTGGTTCCTCAAAAAATTAAACATGGAATTATCTCATGATCTAGCAACTGCACTTCTGGGCATATGCCCATAAGAATGGAAAGTAGGACTTGAATAGATATTTGTATATCCATGTTCACAGTAGAATTATTCGCAATAGCCAAGTGTGATGGGATAGCCATATAAGGGATGGTTTTATTTCTTATCTTCCTGAGAGTTTTAAGAGAAATTTTCTTTCTAGGAAATGACTTTTAATTCACATGCTGATCATTAATTAGTTTGTCACTCAGGAAAGCACAAAAAAGCATGGAGGCCTCAGGACTGCTGGTATACAGTTTTGTTTCCAGTTTTCTAATGGAATCAAACTTACTGCATGTCCTAGCTAAATTTTCTGGAAATCTGATTTTAGGAAAAGTCTATGACAACTTCTGTAAATAAAGGGAAGATTTTCTTTTAGTGCTAGAAGATACCATAAATGCAAAATATGTCTATAATAAATTATGTAAAGGTGTGGTAGGCTAAAGTGCTTTTCAAAATGCAAGTTCCTCTAGAGGGAAATGCAAGAAAATTTCCAGTGATTTGAAAACAATACAGATCAGAAACACCATGCAGAGAGGGGACTGGCTATTAGCCAAAACAAAGGGAAGACCAATGCTTTGTGGGAACTATCCTCCTTGGAGAACAATAATTTCTAAAATAAAACAGCCATTTTAGTCCTGTATCTTGGTTTCCAAACGGTGAATTGTGGCTAGATTGCAGACACCATCATAATAAGGCTGGAAGTGCCTTTCATGACGCCCCCCGACTACAGACAGAGGGCCTGGGAATGTACTTGGAAACCAAGGACACACCACGTTTGGAAGCTTCTAGGTAAAAGCCTAGAATAACTCCCACATTAAAGCAGAAAGACGCTGTCCCTGCTAGATTGTCCTCCCCTTGCCCCATCTCTACTCTGTTGCAGAGTCCACTGAAAAGTATGTGGGATGACCTGGGATTGGTACCAGCCAAGTCCCCTGCTGGTGTGCAGTCCTGGGAAGCCATTTCAACCCTGCTTCATCTATTACCATGGAGTCCAGACTGTTCCAAGGCTCCTGGTGAAGACTGACAGGGACAGACCTCTGAAATGCTCTAGGGACTTGAAGGGGCTCACAACTGTAAGGGGACATTATTCTAAGATAAAAAACAGGCAAATAGGGAGCTAAAGATGAAAGCCAGATATACCCCAGGTTTAGCTGCTAAGAAGCAGCAGGTAGCAATGGGTAGCAATCGCCCATTTGGGTAGCGAATGCTGGCAGCTGTCCAGGGGCTGCCCGAGAGATCCAGCATGGACCCAGGTAAGTGTGTGAATGGCTCACGATGCACAGGAGCTCTCTCTGGTGTTTTCTCTCAGACTACCCAGACCCTGGGCTT